TGCAAGCGTTTAGGACACATTTCATGGAAAAACAAAACGAGCGGATGCATCAAAGAACCGAACCTTGATGTCATGCCCACCACTCCATCACACTACCTGCTAGGCCACTGTTGCACGGGTATCTGCTTTGCTCAGCTCGGTGATCCCTATAGTGCAGTAATATAACACAGGGAAGTACTGGTCCCGTAACTTTGTTCCCAGAATCGTTTACCAGATTTGTAAAACAGATTTGAGATCAGCGTTTGGAACCACCTACGGCGGTTTACATCTCATCTTGAATGGCCACTGCCACCAAGTACCCTTCCCCTGTTAGCCCCCCCCCCCCCAAGGCCACTTCGGGAATTTGATCGCAATTCTCCTATTAACTCTGACCACTTTTTTCCCGGACGTTTTTGAAAAGAGTTATGTATTTTTTACCTAAGCCCCGCCCACTTTCGTGAAGACTCCGCCCACTTCTGAGGCCCGACCACATTCTTTCTAATACAACTAATATCTTTTTTCCCGCGTCCTAGAACGTTTCTGAGCAGAGCTGTAATAAATTTCGAGAAATACCTTCCATTTCAACTCACTCCCCATCCATCGGCTCTCTTCCTCGCAAGTGGTGCTTGAGCGGCCCGAACAAGTAGTAATCGGAAGGCGCAACGGAAGGCGCAAGGTCTGGGAAGTGCGGTGAGCGAGCAACTAAATGCCAGCCAGGCTCAGCAATTTATCGACGCGACTCAGACGCGACATGTGGATGCTGTAGGCACACGTTCGATCGTCTTGGACGTTTTTCTCGAATAGCATAATCCAAGTTATGGAGCTGATCGATATAGATGGCAGCTGCGACAGTCTTGCCAGCGGTCAGCAACTCGTAATAAACAAGCTAGATTCCTCATGTCCCCCCAAACAGATAAGAGATGTTTGCGCTGGCGCGGGTTTGGCTTTGGCTGAGTTGATGGCTCGACGCAGCGAAGGAGCCAAACGGCAGTTCGTTTGCTGTTATCATACAACATCCAGCTTTCATCACCGGACACCAGATCCGCAAGAAAATCATTGTGATTCGGCTTAACACGATGCGTACCGGCGCCTTCGGCGATTTTCCCATGCGCGTGGCCAAGCAGTTTTTGGTTCGGCTCGCGGCGTGCACCACCATGTGATGCACTGGGCCACAAGGAACGGTTTCCTTTCTATTAGGTTGTAAGGAAAGTTCTGGCCGTCCCCACGCACGCGCCATACGAATTCAAATTTTGGCGGCTGTCCATTCATACTAATCGACATATTGTGTTCCTTAGGTAAGTCGTTAGTTGCTCTTTCTGTCGTAGCGCTTTCCCCAAAGTCTGTAAGGTTTTGGAATCCCTAGGAGGTTTTTTTTGGCAGAATGCATAAGTCTGCTTTTTTAACGGTTTTACTTCACGAGTTCAAGTTTGGTCGAACTGCGAAGGACGCAGCCAAAAACATCAACGTTGTATGGGGAGAAGACGCTGCATCGGAGCGAACGGTTCGTCGCTGGTTTCAGAACTTCAGAAGTGGGGACGGGTCACTCGAAGACGAAGAACGAGTTGGTCGACCATTGTTAGTTGATCACGATGTTTTGCTAAGAGCAGTCGAAGAAGACCGACGTCAATCTTTGAGAGAGATTGAGAAGAAGATGGGTGTCTCCCACACAGTCGTCGCTGCCCACCTCAAGCGGCTTGAAATGGTGAAGAAGCTTGACAAGTGGGTGCCACACGATTTCACGGAACAGCAACAACTGAATCGCTTAGAGGTTTCAAGTCCGCTGTTGAGAAGAAATGATGTTGAGACTTTTCTCCATCGTATTGTAACGTATGATGAGAAATGGATCCTGTACGATAACAGAAAGCGTTCTGCTCAGTGGGTGGGTGTGGATAAGCCTCCTAAAAATTTTCCAAACCAAGTTTACACGTTACGAAGACAATGATCACAAGTTGGGGGTCCAACCATGGACTAATCCACTACGCGTTTCTTCTTCCAGGTCAAACCATAACCGCACAGTCATATTGTGATCAAATTCACAAGAAGTACACGAAACTGGGGCAAATGCAGCCAGCACTAGTCAGTCGCCGCGGTCTACTGCTCTTACACGACAATGCGCAACCGCATGTGTCACGAATTGTCTTCCAGAAGTTGAACGAGCTGCGAATCGAAGCTCTCCCTCATCCACCGTACTCACCACTTCTGTCACCAACTGACTACCATTTATTCAAACATCTAGACAGCTTCTTAAAGGAATGAGTAATCAAAAATCGAGGACGTGGAAGCTGCCTTTCTTGAGTTTTTGGAATCCAGATCTCCGGACTTTCATAAGAATGGAATAGACAGACTTGTATCACGTTGGCAAACATGTGTAGAATCGAATGGGGCTTACTTGAATAAAAATGTTCACTTTGAGATGAGTTATAACTTTTTGAAAAATAGCTGACGAAACGGCCAGAACTTTCCTTACAACCTAATAACATAGCGAATTCTCTACTATTCGGATCCGATTTTTTTATAATGTTTTCGAATATGGAGAACAACATATCTGTCTAACACTCTGTGATTTAAGAGACATTTTGTTGGCCAACTGTGCGTGCTAAATCTGAATCAAATAAAATCTACTTAGGGCTAAATCCTGCGATAACAATTCCAACCGGCCGAAGTTTCTTGACTTCAAAGTGTTCCGAACAGGCGAAAGGTGCGCTTCTTTCCACACATCGACTTTGGGTCCCCTCGTCCCATTCCAGGAGAGCAACTTTAAGTCCAATTAAGTTCTGTTATCGATTCTGGTAGTATTCCTGATGGAAGCTTTGGAGAACTCATTCGTGCAACTACTTGTTGATAGCGATGAAGAAGCAGACAACGAAGATGTTTCGGCAGCTCCTGATGGTTTGCTCGCTGATGCCGTTGAATCAAGTGATGATGTGGATAGTGAAGGGGAGTCTGACGCCGGTTGGTCTTCGACTATAGTTCAACCAAATGTAGTGCCTTTTACCGAGGACAGTGGAAACCAAAACGACGATGTCTATGCATTCAGCAATCCAATGAGCTTCTACAAGTTATTCATGACAGACGACTTGGTGAAACTGGTGATTGAAGAATCGAACCGTTATGGATCCGCCAAGTATTCGACTTGGTCTGTGCTCGAAGAGCAGGTGTTTCACAAGTTCTTAGCCATTTGTTTTCATATGAGCATCGAGAAGAGGTCTAGTCTCAAAGAATACTGGTCTACAAGAGTTATATACAGCGGATCTTTCGCAGCCAGACTGATGACAAGAAACCGATTCATTGAGATGTTGAACTCTCTCCACTTCGCCGACAACGATACCTCGGACAAGAGTAATCGACTCTACAAGGTGCAACCTGTTATTGATTTGATGAACAAAGCGTTTGGTGATGTTTACAAACCTGAAAAGGATATTTGCATTGACGAGACCATGGTGCCGTTCCGCGGGAAAGTTATGTTCAGACAATATATTCATGGGAAAAGAGACAAATATGGTATCAAGCTCTACAAACTGTGTTCCAATGGCGGATATACTTGCAGATTCATGGTATGCAGGAAAATTGCCAAACAGAACGTGTCCTGTAGCAGAGCATGTAGTGATGCAGTTGATGCAACCGTATCTCCAAAGTGGAAGGATTTTGACAGCTGATAACTTCTACTCATCGATACCTCTCGCTCAAAAGTTGTTGGAGCACGATGTATACCACCTCAGTACCATACGAAAGAACAGAATTGGCATTCCTGCTGAAGTGAAAACAAAGAAGTTGAAGAAAGGAGAGGTTATCGCTAGGCAGGACGAATATGGAGTAACTGTACTAAAGTGGAAAGACGGGCGTGAGCTGTATATGATCTCATTATTTTTGGATGATACCGTGAATGATGCAAATAAGCCAGTGATGGTGGAGAAGTACAATAAATCAAAGGGTTTTGTTGATCTCTCAGACCAGATGACCGCTTCTACGCCCTTCACCAGGAAGACTAGTAAGTGGTATTTGCGGTTGTTCTGTTATTTGATCACCCAAACTGCTGTCGTGGTATATGTCATGTCGTGGTAACGCATGGTATATCTATTCCTTGGTCAACGAAAAGATCTCTATCAGGGAATTCAAATCGAGGATCATAGAGTCGATATTGGATGGACAGATTTCCACACAAGCAACAATGAGGCATCAGCTGCGGACAGTCCCGGGACCTAAGCGAGAACACCGTAGTCGATGTGTGGAGTGCTATAGAAAGTTAGCGAAAGAACGCGGCGCACCTTACGCAAGAACGAAAGCCTCGCAAGTGAACACGAAATGTTCAAAATGTAGGAAATATTACTGCCTGAATTGCTACCAACTGTATCACAAAAAGTGTTCGGGAAGCTTAGAATAATTGCTCAGATTGCTATCATATTCATTTCGGATGTTAGCTGTTATCCTTCTCATTTGTTATCACTTTCCAGCTGAAGGTTACGGGATTTTGTCTTATCAAAAATTACGAGTCATTCATTTCTCTTGATTCAACGGGAAGACTAGTAGTGCTAACTTGCTATCACTTTCTTCTATGAGTTTTCGTTTTCATTATGAGCCATGTTCTTGAATTCCAGTAAACTGCCTACATATTTTTTTCACGAGTTCTCAATTCCATAACTGCCAGTTACGATCTCTAGCTCAATTACCAAACCGGTTGTATTAGTTTGAATACGAGTACGAAGATTATTATAATTATTTCACAAGAGTACAGAAGAAATGTTACAATAAAACTTGTTAGTAGCGTTAGATTCGTGATTAACATTATGGTGTATGGACGCTCCATATTTTCATAGCTGTTCGAGTCCCAAGCAGATATGTTGTTAAGCATGTTCGAAAACATGTGTTTGCCAATTTTGACTAGTATTGCTTCATAAAGAAAGTAGAAATTCGAGTGTGAAGTTCATGCATCACCATGTGATGCACGTGGCCACGCGGGCAAGTATACGCGTGCATCACCATGTGATGCACGCGGTACGCAATGTTTTAAAAAGCAAAGGTTCTCAGATTTTGACACGGACCTACTTCTGGGCATCCGTCAGTCGGTGAGGTATCCATGTTGAGAGTACTTCCCGATAAACGCAGACGTGGAGAAGGTTTTCGATGGTGGAGTGGGAGCATCCAAGTGTAGTTATAAGCTTAGATTCAGGGTGTGCCGGGAAAGCGAGTAGTATTTCGCCTTCATCTATGCAACTTGCTCGTCCTTTACGTATCCTCTCACTGCCAGCGCCTCCAGCGAAGCGATTACACTAACGATTGACCGTTGAACGTTGAACAGTGCCTTCACTTAATGTATTGCTGATGGCACCAGCCGTTTCACGCGCGCTCTTCCCTTGATGGCATTCGTAGAAGATAATGGTGCGAAGTGCCGAAAACTCTTGCGCGTTTCCCTATATAGTCATGTATTGATTGTTCTTAATGCTTACTGCTCTGTTCCGGACTGGACTTCCTTGCCAAACTGACTAACAAGGATAATCCGATCATCGAGATCAGTTACGCCAGTCTACTCGTTTGCAGAAAGATGCGTTTATGATAATGACACATGTTGAAATTATTCCTAATTCGTACATTTGACAAGTACTGTTGACTGTTGCCTTATGAAGTAAATCCTCAACCGTGAACGGAATTTGTTCCCATGGTAAAGAAGAAATTTGCACTAGTCTGTGGTAAAGCCAAGACTAGGGCAAATCTCTTCGGCCTCGCAACTGAAGGGAACTAGCAACCGCATCGAGCTAGCCTACCTACCGCGCAGTGCGGCTCTCGCGAGGAAGGCCACGCATGAATTGCACATTCCTCGTTTCATTGTGGCTTTCTGGAACCACACAGTTAATTTATTTCTTATTTACCCACTAGTTTCTTTTTCTTTTTTCTTTATTTTTCATTTATTTGGTACCCGACGCATCGTCCGGTCAACGCCTGACTCTCCTTCTCGTGTAAAGTTGTCCTTTCCCCAAGTCTCTTCCAAACTGAGACGCTCTGGTGCAGGAAGACAGCGGGTTGAATTTCCATTATATATACATATGTATATATATATATATATACATATATATCCATATATACAGATATATAGATATATATATATATACATACATATATATACATATATATACACATATATATATATACATATTAGTACCGGCAGTGAAGTATGCGTTTTCTTTTTTTCAAACATAACTTCCTCAAAACTCAAGCTTTCTGCTAGAAACTCAAACAGTAGAAAACTGGGGCAGTTAGTAATATTATATTGCTGTAAGGGTGCGGCGGCACACTTCCAAGCAAAACCGGCACTTTATTTTCAAATCGCCCGCCAACACACATTTCCACCTTCTATAATTGGTGGGTTTTTATATTAAGAATTTCGGGTGGTTCTTAGTTCGAGCCACGTCATGCACCTACTAAGTTATTAAGGCTATCGCAAGGCATTCCGGAGTCCGTAACTTGTGGCAGGTTGACGCCATCTTCCACGAAGGCCTACCATCAGAGCAAGTTTCGGAAATTCAAGAAGTGTCAATTTGATGTGTTCAAACGATTTGGAAGAAATATAAGGACACAGGGTCGGTAGAAGTCAAAAAACACCCAGGCGCAGCGAAAACGACGTCACGTCTTGTGGACGGGAACATTGTGCGGCTCGCAAGTTACGATTCGCGTCTCATTGCAGCCGAGATTCTCCGCGAAAAGAGACCGAACCCATCCTTGAGCAGTGTACAACGTCGTCTAAGAGAGGCCGGTTTGTTTGGACGACGTCCAGCAAAGAAAGCACTGATTTCCGCCAAGAATCGCAAAACGCGTCTCGACTGGGCTCAAGCTCACAAGAACTGGACCGTTCAGCAGTAGCGTAAGGTCATCTAGAGCGACGAATCGAAGTTTTTGCTGTTCGGGACGGATGGAATCAAGTTTTGTGCGACGTCCTGTCGGTACCAGATACCATACGAGTTACCAGCTGCCGACCGTGAAGGGTGGTGGAGGTTTGGTGATGGTTCACGGTAACTTCTGTGGCAAAGTAGTTGGTGCCCTTCATCGGATTGAGGGTAAGATGGATGCGAAGATGTACCTTAACATCATGGAGACTGTTATCTGGCCGTTTGTTCGCAGTACTGCTCGCAGTGGCTTCATTTTCCAACAGAACAACAACCCGGAACACGAATCGAAGCCGCTCACCAGACGGTTCCGCGACAACAACGTCCCTCTGCTGACGTGGCCATCACAGTCTCCCGATCTGAATCCCATCGAATATTTATGGGAAAGACTTGAGCATCAAGTAAAAGGTCTCAGAGCTTGAAATGAGCACGAAAAGTTCCATCAGCTAAAGATGGCATGGGAGAACATCCCATAGGAGGAGATCGACAAGCTCATCGAGTCCATGCCACGCCAATGTCAAGCGGTCATTGACGCCAGAGGTTATGCGACAAAGTATTAATGTCGAAGTTGTTATATTGATATTATACAAGTTGTTGAAATTGGAAACGAGGAATTGGAAATTCGGACGCGTAGACTGGCCCATGACGAACTTCAAAACAGTCGTCTTGTCTCACATACGCCCCTCTTCCGAATACAATTGCTTGGGAAGGATTGCTACTGAACCTGCAGAAACACGAGAAAATGACTGCTGATTCGCTTGTATGTTCTACTTCGATTAGGAGAGTCTAACTCGAGTAAATTCTGTTGCATCCAAGATTCAAAAGCCCTATAAGCTTCTTGACGAGAAGAAACTCGAGAGAAAAACAAATGCTGTGCGCTACCTTCGGCGGCACGCATTTCGACACACTTTTTCTGACGAAAGGATGTCCAGCGTGGAAGAAATGCTAAGATCAAAGAATACACTTATGTTTTACACTAAGAGTGCTGAAGCCGCTGAAAAAAGTCGGGTCGCTTTTCGTAGCCATTTACCCTTTCCATGATGGTTTGGGCTAAAATCTCCACCATAAGAGCGAAGTCGTCAATTCTGACCGAAAAAAATGTAAATTTCAATCAGAACATCTTCAAAAAGGCTTTTTCATAAGGATGCAGCTGAGGGTCGAACATTTTTCCCAAGGAACGATTTAAAAACTGAGCGCCTCTGCTCACGAATGAAAAAAAAAACCAGGACTGATGCTGAGGAAATGTTCGCGACTTTATCTCCGCTTCCATTCGTCCTACGAACTTTCCGGACCGCAATCCAGTGGGTCGGTCTATAGCTTATACTCAAGAGGAAAGCCTGCGCTTAACGACAAAAACTATCGTTATAATATACACAGGGTGCGCTATAGATACGGTAACAAAAGAATTCGGCTACAGAAAACGCAGTCAATATTGATACACGGTGTATTCATGTGAGTTATTTACTATGCATCACATCTACAAAAAGAACACACGGTCATCCTATATAACCGTTTCTCGTACTAATTGTAGCTCGAAGACGCTTCGGCAACTCATCGACGGTGGCATGCAGCGTTTCTTCAGAAATTCCAGCCCGGGTTTTTTTTTTCAGTGATTTCAAAGTAGCAGCAGCAGTGGTGCTTTTGAAGGCTTTCCTCTCCAGTATGGACTACATCCAGCGACCCACCACATTATATCCAGAAATTCGCAACAGGATCAGAAGCTGGGGTAAAGTCGCGAACATTTCCTGAGCACCAACCTTGAACTTTTTTTCAATTCGTAAGCAAGTGCGCCGTAGTTCATAAATCGTACCCCTAGAGAAATCTTTGACTCTCAGTTGCATCCTTTCAGAAAAACCCTTCTTCAAGAGGCTTGGTTGAAATTTGGTACTTTTCTCGACCAAACTTCCCGATATGGCTTTCTAATGGTAGATATTCTAGCTAAAACTATCATGAAAGGAGGAAAATGGTTACGAGAGGCTATCTGACCCTTCTCAACGGTTTCCGCACTCGTAGTGTAGTATACACGTATTCTTTGAGATCTCAACATTTCCTCTACGCTGAACATTCTTTAGACAGAAAAAAACTTGTCGGTGGGCGTGTCGCGCGCAAGTAGCGCACGTCATTTGTTACCTCTCTTCTCCTACTTCTCGTCAAGATGCTCACAAGGCTTTCGAATAGTATTTGGATACAACTGCATTTACTCGGGATAGATTCTTCTTATCGGAGTGGAAAGAACAATAATAAGAAGTCATTTTTCTGGTGGTTTGGGGCGGATTCCGCAGCGTACTCCTCCCAGGCTACCGTATTCTGAAAAAAGGTCGTATGAGAGACCAGTCGGGCCGCCCGGCTAACGCCGGGCTTCCCTCCTTCTTATG